ATTTATTTTTATTTTTAATAATAAAAAGATCTTATTAAATATCTTAATGTAAAATAGTAATTTTAACAAATTTCCAGATAATATCTAATATGTTTGAAAATAACCCAGTAAATCAGAATTTTTAAATAAAGAAAAATTTTAATTAAATAAATCAATCTTGAATATAAACTCTAGTAATCAAATATATATATATTTTTACAATAATAAATAGAATAGTTTTTTAGATATAACTTCGCGATATAATTGGTTACTACGCAAAATTCTTGAGTGTTCCTGGGATAGCCAATTATTATAAAGCATTCCAAACGACTAAGTAAAACACAAAGTCATTTTAAGTGATTTATCACTCATGTAAAAAGCAAGATCTGTATAAATAACGATAAATATTATGCAAATGATGTACTCATTATGAACTGTTATCTTAAATGTATGGATGTTTTTAATATATTAGGAAACGGTGACCGTTATAATTCTGGATAAATGATTTGTAAAAAGCAGATCATATAAACATAATTGCCGAATTTATAATGATACTCAAAGACCAAATTAAATAGACACGAATCAAAGACTAAATAGACACAAATAAGCAATATTTAAAAAACGAATGTGAACTTGAATTTATCCATTAAAGTCCATATCGCTCATGAAGCCTCTGCCTTATATGTTGTGGGAAATGATTTGTGTACGCTTCCCAATTAGGACCCATCATTTGCTTGAAACCGTTCAGAATCTATAAAAGAAAACTACATGTCATTAATTTGATCAAACATTAATTAAACTTCAGAAAGCCTTCTTACCTTACGAAATATTTCATTTAGTTCATCCGGCGGTTGTTGCCATTGAACAACCGCATCGCAAAAATATAGGAAGCTCTGAAGTGTACAAAAAATGTAAACTTAATACAAGAGAATTTATTATGTAACTTTATTCATTGAACATCAATGAAAATAACCTTCGCAATCCCATTAGGGTTGACTTGAATCATCTCACATAGACCTCGAAAAGCAGTATCTTTTTCGTCATTATCACGAATCGACCTCAAAGCTTTACACCTGTTGTAAAATAAATAAAAATAAAAGTGTATAATGATATTTAATTACTTCTTTAATAGAAATTAACAAAACGAAAGATACAATACCAAGCTTCAGAAAATACATCTAAGTGTGGTGCAACCAATTGTGGGCACACCAAACCTAGTCTACCGATAGTAATTCCAGCGTTTTCCAAAAGGGTTCTAGGAGTAGTTTCACTTGTCAGAAGGGGAATCAATCGTTCCAACAGGGGAGGAATCCATGGTTGCATCTCAGAACCTAATTAATTGAAATACATGCAAAGTTAAAATTTTAAATTGTAAACAATAATATCGATTATAATTCAAAAAGAATAGCATACCGCACTGCAACGCGATTTCACCAGCTGCCCATGCAGCATTGTTACAAACACTAACATGTTCAGCGTTTGGATCGACTTGACTAATCAGATCGACCATGAATTGATTAAGATAAGGTTTGATATGTGTGAAACAAGCAATTGACAGATCGCCTAAAAGCGCATAGGCAGATTGTCGAACCTCAGCGACTGGATCCTGTATATCAATATACCATAAGCAAGCATACATTTTAAAGAAAAAAGATCAAATAAAATAAATTGACGTATTGACGTACTGTTAAACAGACGCTTAGCAAAGACAATAATGATGGGGTGCTATTGGATACAAGAGCCTCGATCTGATTTCCTAACCCTTGCGTCAAACCACTTAATAAATCCAACGCAACGATCATAAAATCCTTATCCGGCATGTCCAACGTTGGATTTTGTTGGTGTAGCTGATATTGAACCAGAGTGTTATGGATCAATTTGACACAACGTTCAAAAACTGGTTGAGCAAAAGGCTGGAATCCCAATCCAAGAGCTGTTGTGACAGACGACAAACACTACATTGATTATATTTTGAGGCTTGTAAGTCATAAGGAAATGAAGTAGAGAAACTTGAAAGAAACGTGTTTTGATATATTTCTGCAAACCTCCAATAATGGAAACAAATCTCTATCATCATCCTTAAGCAAGTGCCATTTTTCGATAAGCGGCGGCATGAGGATGTCTATGTACTCTTTTTTATTAAGCGCTCCACTGACGGAATCAGCTAAGGTACCAATAGCATCATAAAGGATGAGCAAGTTTTTGTGTTGATATTTGGTGAAAGCAAAAACAAGATTTCGAAGAATTGGATCCAAATAAGGAATGAGTAACTCGCAAGCTTCCTCTTCAAGAGTAGCGAAGGCGCTACATGCCGCTTCCTGAACGCGCTTATTGTTGTCAAGAACCCTATGTAAGAGCTTAAAGTGAATATAAAGGAAAAGTAATAGTAGGGAACAA